AATCATATTCCCCTTCATTCCTCCTCCAGCAGGTACATAAAAAGTTATGTTGCGGAAAAAAGGGAGGGGCCGAGGAGCTGGACCAGCATTGACATTCCCAGAAGAGTAGAGGGCTCTATCTCTCCCCCCCCTCCTCTCTCTTCTCTCTCCCCCCCCTCCTCTCTCTTCTCTCTCCCCCCCCTCCTCTCTCTTCTCTCTACCCCCCCTCCTCTCTCTCTCACAGTGAAATGTATTTATACATGGCATATCCGTATTCTAAAATTGCTGCCTGCCTCTTTTGCTGTTACAATGGCTTCAATGCTTTTTCAGGCACTAGAGCAGAATAATTGCAGATCAGGAGTTCTGACTTTACGTGCTATATGCTTGTTCCAGAATGTTTTAAAGCCAGATACGGCCAGGCAACTAGCATTTTCAGAAGCAGTTTAGCAATAGCAGCATATATTTCTCAGTAATGCATTCTTGAGATAAGATCAGGGTGCTGCTTCTCCTTTCACTGTCTAGTCACAGGCTGGGGGTGCAGATGAGACATGTGAGCATTACTGAACTGCATCAGAGATAATTAAGAGCTCCTGCCCTGCCAGACTGGGCTCTGTGGTGTGGCAGAGCTGAGTAAATCTCAGGACTGGGTGGATTGGACTACAAAACAGGTAACCCCGCTCTTTTATATGCATTTCATCGGTGTACTTAGCTGTTTGACTGGAGTTCAGCTCTAGCTGTATATTTTAGTGTAATCTGGTTTACATTCTAAAATATGGAATGTGATTAATAAAGACATCATTGGAAACCTATACTCTAACAGTAAATAAGGTCTCTCTCGGCACACTGACTCGGCTTCTACTTGTTTTTATAGCTAACAATAACCCGAGAACATAAAATGTAATTGTGCTCGTTTTTCAAAATCCTCCAAGCATATTTTACATGGACTAATTTTAAATTGCATCTGCGTGTTTACTTTTGTTTTTTTCCTCTAGTGTTTGTTCTCATTTATTTAGACTTCCCCAGTACATTATGGAGTTATTCTAAGTCCTGCTGAGCACTCTTCTCTATAAATATTTATGAAGCTGCTAAATCTTACAGCGTCTTTTACTATTAAACTGTCTTCAGCATTGTTTTTACTCGTTATTTTTGTCTCATTTGTTTATGTATTTACTTACTTCTTTCTTTGCTAGATTCTTAAATCAGGCAATGCAGCTTTACAATGCAACGGAGGTGGTGCCAATTAACTATGTGTTCTTCACAACCAGTGCTATACTCGCAGGTACCGAACAATGAGCCAATGTTAGAAATATTTTACTTTTCTTGAAGCTTAAAGTGACTCAGGAGTGAAATCTTAAAAATACATTCAAGTACCTCAACTATTAACAAAAATGTATCTTATGTGTCTGTAGATCCTCAAATCATCTCTGAATTGGTGCTGACACTGTCCTTCCTTCTGGAGGGTGGCTACTTTTGTTCCCCATGGTCCCTGTGTGTGTTGTAACATAGTAACCGCTCCAAGCTCGCTCCCATGATGGACTACAATCTCATGTTTAGTTTACCTATTTGTATTGAGATTGTAGTCCATCACGGGAGCGAGCTTGGAACTTGATCTCTTTTAAATGCTTTGTATAAAAGACAATTGAAAAGGGCTCTGTTTTCTTTTGAGTTCTTGCCTTGTGACAAAAATGCAGATTGAGCAGAAGGGAGGCGCACATCACCAGTGGCCTCACAAGGGGGGTGCGGCCCGCACTCGGGTGACACCATTGGAGGGTGACACCAAAAAGTCAGGCACTCGGTGATGGACCGAGAGCCTGACAGTGTCAGGAGAGAGGAGGGGACCCGGCGGCATACCTCATCCTGCCGGGTGAACGTCCCCTCCTCTCTCTGCCGATGTCCATCACTAAGATGGCCTCAGGCCCCGGAAACGCGTCATCACAGGAGTCCCGTGCTGACACACAGACATATGTGCAGCCATTCTACAGTCGCATAGGCTCATCGTATTGCTTTTATTGATCCACTTTTGTGAGTATGTTTTTACTCTGTTTTTACTCAGTATGTTTTTACTCTATATTTTTTCTTAAAATCATTAAAAACCCTCTACACTAGGGTGGGCGCCCTTCTCTTTTCTCTTTTTTTCTCAGTGTTGCAGCTTCCCAAGCTGAAGTGGGGCAGCACTCCTAGTCAACCTTGTTTTGTACTATTCATCTGTGGGTCAAATTTAGCGCTTTGGACTTGTTTTCACTGATTGTCAATTAAATGATCGCACATGCGCGATGATGTCACGGTGGGGTGTCACCTGGTCTTTGCTCCGGGTGACACCTAGCCTTGGACGCCCCTGCACATCACTGGAAGCATCCTGCAGTCATTCACCAAGTCCCCGTTCACACCAGGGGCTGACTGGCAACTTTTAGCCCAGGGGGCAAGTACAACCCAGAGGCCAATGGTGCAGCAACTTGGCCCCCTCTGCCTCTTCCCCTGCCTTCTCCCGGCCCCTGTCTGCCACTTTTGGCTATAGAGAACTACAATTCCAGGCAATACATTATGCAGCAACGTAGAATACCATCATCTATAGAGGACTATAAATTCCGGCAATAATGACTACCAACAGCTATAGAGAACTACAATTCCCAGCAATACCATTATACAGCAATGCAGAACAGCATCAGCTATAGAGAACTACAAATCCCAGCAATACATATTACAGCAATGCAGAATAATATGAAGCGACATACTCTGTTGCTCTGGGTTCTCCGACTGATGTCTCCAGGGTCTTTGGAGGGTTGCGCAGGCTCTCACCAGGGATCCAGAGAGTTTCACGGGTGCGAGGCGATCCGGGCTGGCTGGACCACGTAGACGCGGCCTGGGCATGTTAGAGTAGAAAAAATGGTACATGCATGAATCTATAACTTTATAGCAGGGCGCACATTGGGAAGGCTTACAACAATACAAAACACAAAAATTCCCCAGCCTCAACCTGCCAGCCAGCCTGCAACCAAACAGAGGTTTAGTTGCACAAACTTTTGGCCAAACTCTATGTATCCGAGTCTCCAAGTGTGAGCATATTAATGAAGTTGATAAATTACATGCAGGTGTACCTGGAGGTAGCCAACTCTTCCTAATAAGGTGCAGGAGACTCGGATACATAGAGTTTGGCCAAAAGTTTGTGCAACTAATCCACTGATTTTAACGCATACTGTTGACAGGGCTACTTGTTTGGTTGCAGGCTGGCTGGCAGGTTGAGGCTGGGGAATTTTTGTGTTTTTTTTTGTTGTAAGCCTTCCCCATGTGCGCCCTGCTATAAAGTTATAGATTCATGCATGTACCATTTTTTCTAGTTTGACTACATTAATGCATACTGTTGACAGGGCTACTTGTTTGGTTGCAGGTTGAGGCTGGGGAATTTTTGTGTTTTGTATTGGGCATGTTAGAGGACCGCTGGCTGGGACCTCCCGAGCACCCACTTGAGGAGCAGCAGCCGCGCCGATCACAGAGCCGCAGCGGTCGGGTGCAGGTGGCAGCAGGGGTCAAGGGGCCATTCATCAAGGCTTCGGAGAGGCCCGGGGGGCAATTGCCACCCTGCCCCCCGGCCCAGTCCGCCCTGGTTCACACCATCGTGTTCCGTGAATGTGTGTCGCGGTGATGCGTGTTCGGCTTTTTTCCCTGTATTTGCCGGGTGTTCCGTTTAATTTTAATGGGTGCGGCATATGCGACAAACCCAAGAAAGTAGTTCATGTAGCAAAATCATCTAAGTTCCATGTGTTTCCTGTGAATTGTGCGTGTTTTAGCATGTGTCCTTGCATGGGAAATACGGGTATTTGCCTGGCCATGTTTGGGGTGCCATTAACAAGTAATAGCGGAGCAAGCACTTTTTTGTGTGCGTTTGCCGCAATTTTCTGAAATGTGATGGTTTTAGGGTTAGACTTCAGTCTCCTTTGCTCAGGTGACACTTAGGTGGGTATCCTTTAAAGGATTCTTGTTTATGTTTATTATTTGTGTCCTTTTTAATACCATTTTATTTCTATTTATTCATACACTAGAAGGGGACTTAAGGTGTTTGTCGGGGCAAAAACATATTAAGTACATCTCTGCAATATATGCACATGTACCATGTTTCATTACTTTAAATATGTTGTAAGTAGAAAACAAAATACATGTTGATCCTGACAGAAATCCAGAAAAAGCTGCAAATTTCCTGTTTGCTCTGACAACTCTGCTGCAGTAAAATCCCAAGCAGAGGTATCAGCATGTCTCCAATATGTTATGAAAATGAGGAAAGAGGGAGGTGTCCTGTAGTCCAGCATAAAGGTGCCCATACACCTTACAATTATCTGCAGATTTTCTGTGGTCAGATAGAAAAAGTGCAACAGATTGGCCCTGGTGGAGATTACTCCATCCACACAGTTAGGTGTAGATGGAGGAATCTGTTGCACCTTTTCCATCTGACCATAGAAAATCTGCAGATAATTGTAAGGTGTATGGGCAGCTTAAGAGAACTGGGCAGGGCTGAAAGTGCTTGTGGTTTCAGTGCATCACAGTAACTGCGTTGTCAGCTTAAACAGGTTGTTGGATGCACATTGAATTTCAACAAGATCAACAGATATTTTTCTGTACTTGCAGTGTTTTTAAAGGGATACAACATGGGGAAATGCTTTTATTTGCCCAGACATACTCTAAAGCCTCGACTCACTAAATGTTGTTACTTAATTAAACAAAACATACTGTACCTGCCTAGGTCTGGCGATACAGAAGCAATACAAATCATTAAAATAATAAAATAGACTCATCTTATCTATTATTTTTAATGAATGCATTTATTTTTGTTATTTCAGGTGTAATATTTTATCAGGAATTCCGAGATGCAGCATTATTGAATGTATTTATGTTTATATTTGGGTAGGTAAATGGTTTTACATTTATTTCCAGAAATGTGACAAACCTAAAAGTTTTTCTGAAGGAAATAGAATGCTTTTATTTGGTACACTGTTTAAAAAAACTTGCTCTCTTTTTATAATTGACTATAAAATTATTATATATAGATAGATAGATAGATAGATAGATATCGAGAGAGGGGGAGAGAGAGAGAGATAATCTCTATAGATATATATCAATCATCTAACCTATATGTCATAGTAATAACATGATTGGGAACATGGCTCTTAAGCATTGATAAATATTTCTACAAGTCATTTAATTGTGACTGTCAGAATAAATGAATGTAATAATTCTGAGGTTTCAAGTACTTTTTTTTTCTGGATATTTTTTCACACTGTGTTTTGTACATGGAAAATCTACGATCTGTTAACATCACCATTATGTGATAAACATGCAGCTCCCATCTTGGTCTAGTTAAGTCGGCAGTAAAAACAATTTTATTATTCTTTACAAGTCTATCTAATTCCAGGCTATAAAAAAGCACTTTATAAAAAGGGGGGATCCATTAATTAGTCTAATGTTTTGTAGTAATGATGTCTGCGTTATTTCAGAGTCACTTACACAGAAAGTCAGATTGCATTTCGGTCCATTTATGTCTCTTAGAGAGTGAAGTGCTGCACAAGACAATGAATCTAGTAATTAACGGGGATAATTGCTGCAGAAAGCAGCCTGGTGTGTAGGAAGAAGAGTCTCCTGCATATTAATGGCTGGAATTATAGGCGACATAAAAAGTGGAGAGACATAAAACAAGCTAGTAATCTGCTAATCTTTGCACTTTATGGGAAGTGGTTTTTCAAATTTAATTATACTTTTCCTTGTTTTAGTAGCATCATTTGGAAGGTGTTTTTTCACAACCGGGAATCTGTGTGACGGCTGTATCATTTGTAAATATGTCACCAAAATCTGAGTTTCTTTATAGCTTGTCTTTCAGTTTTCACACATATAGGGGCTTTACTAAGACATACCCAAAAGCTTACAATCAACCCTGACTTTAAACCAAGCTATGCATATTTTCAGTATCTCCAACCCTTTTGAAGATTAGGACAGTTTAGAGATTTGCCAGTAGGCCAAAAAAGGTCTCTGTCTAAAAGCAATAGAGGCAAAGGGTGATCTAAGACATCAGAGAATGTTTGCCTGATGTAGCTGTTTACAGCTGGAAAAAGTGTTTGAATGGCTTTAGGACAGGCATATGAAACGTGGGACCTGCAGAAAGAATTTGTGTGTCCTGCACCATAGTATTTTACCCACCTGCTATTTCTAAGGGAGACGTCTCTTAGGGTTAGAGTCTAAGGTTAAGGGGAGTCACCCCTGAAGGAGGTGGTCGGACACCAAGATGCTTACAGGCAGACTAAAAGGCTTATTCCCTGAAGGTGATGGGGCAAATTAATATAGCGTGGTCTGCACAGAAGTTGCCAAAGAGTAGAAAATAATGGGTATCAGTGGCCTCGGCAGAGTACACTGCAAAGGAGCTCCCTATTCATCTCTCTTGTCTATTACCACTCCTTTTTTATATTTTACCATTCTAATATAAAATAATGACCAGCTCATAAATTACTGTAGTGTGGCTTCTGGGTGATGGTGCTGCTGCCATGGCCCATCCATAGTCATGAGCGCTGTAGCCAGCACTTGACCATTGCAGACACCCCCTATCCAAACTCAGTCAATGGCTATCTTTTTTCCTAAGCAGCTAATTATATATCCCCCTCCTCCCCTTTCCAGAGGCACAAGCATGCATATTGGTCTGATGGAATTGTTCTGTCTCAACCACCAATTGTATGTATTTGCACATACCTTCCTGAGACTAGTCTGTACAGATAGTATGACAACCTACTGAGCTGATGGTATCCACAGGCAGGGTCCAACTCACCAAGAAGACTCAGAGTAAAATCCAATGCAGTTTATTCAGGCTAGACAATACAGGGGATGCCATTCCTTGTCATTCTTAGAGGTGGAAAGACATTTATATCTGAAGCCTTGTACAGCATGAACAGATCCCTCTTAACACAGTGAGGGTGAAGTGATAAGAAACAGGGAAGGAGAGGCTAGGAGTGTCTAACTAGAAGAATGTACCATTTACACTAAACATAAGTAAGTGAGGTCCAATAGAATATAAGTGTATGCAGAAATTAAGCTTTAGTAGCACCAATCTACCACTGGTTGTCGTAAGTCGATGATAAGTAATGAATATATAGTAGTGCAATAATACAATACTGGCTTTGGCAGCACAGAAAGTGCATATTTGCATTACCGTATTCACCTTATAAATTGTTCAACAGCTGTATATTTCATGCTCTTGCTGATGAACCATTAATCTGGTACCAAACGTGCGATTTCTTCACTGGAAACACATCGCCAGCAAGGTAAAGCAAACACTTCTAATGGGTGTCACTGCCTCACTCGGAACACTGCAGAATCACACTTGCTAGTGATGGTGCAGTGACAGAGCTACATTGTTCTGGCATGGCAAGGAAGTGACTCAGTAGAAGGGAAGTGCTTTCTTAGCACGCTGGCTAGGGTTGCTAGTCTGACATTGCAGGGCACAGCCAAAAGTGCATTCTTTGTCTGAGCTGCTACAAGGTCACAAAAAAAAGACATATCTGCAACTGTTCACAAGTTCTGTCGCTGAGTTTCTAAGTGCCCCATGGAAATGTTGGCATGCAACTGTGCCCCTGTGCTCCCATACATAATTGCATAAGCAAGTAGACTTAAAATGACCAATTTTCTTAACAATTTCCACATTTCTTTAATGAAATAAAACCCTCCTCACCTGATCTGTTTGTATTTTGAACCCAGGTAGATGAAAGTCTTTCTGCTTACATTCTGGTGGTTTGTTTAAGTAGCACATGCCAGATTTAGCTGCAAATCTGTTGTCAAATATGGTCAATGTCCATATATATAACTCTGTGTGTATTATATAGTGTGCAAGTTTTTCTTTATTTCAGTGGATTTTTTTAAACTAGTAAAGTTATTTTGCCTCGCTCGTGAAAGCTTTTGGACTTTACTGTCACGTTTGAAGCCGTTCCTTCTAAAGTTTGTTCCATGAGATGTGTCCTGAGCTTTTCTGCCAGATTCTCCTAAATTCATTGTGACATACTAAAGGAGAACAAATGTGCTTGACAACCATTTATTCTGGGAACAGACAGTGCTGGCTAAAGGGACGCCTGTCATTCTTGTACTCCCATTTGAAAGCTCGGATGAACATGCAGAGGTGAACAATCAATAAAATAGGCTGAGGATTGCTGAAGGGTCCACTTTTTGATTGCTTCCTTTGCTCTATACCGGGCCTGAAATGGTTACATTCTACTAGGTGAATCTGCTATCTTTATTTTCACCTGCCCTAGTAAAAGGATGTTGAATTGTAGGCACACATGTTCTCTCTAAACGTCTTACTGACGTGACTGAGATCCTGGTAACGGATGTTTGCCACAAGAGCTGCAATGTATGTGGCAGTGTTTTCTGGGCTGTTATAAGTGCCCATGGTGAGCCCACTTCTTATTGAGGCCCTTTTACTGCATTCTCTGCAGATTTACTTTTTGAGGAAATTAAACAGAAAACTGCTTTACCTGGTGGGGGGGAAAATGAAACCAGGGGACCATCAGAGAAATGGGACCGCAAGTAGATTCTTTAAAAGCCACATTTAAAGTAACTAGGACTTTACAGCAAACCTGAATCCATGCCTTTCTACCTCTGAACAGCAGCACTTGGATAAATTCACAACTGGAAGCTCACATCTCCAGCTAATAAGGACCTCCCCACCTAATTCTTATTGGCTTGCATTGCAACCAGCCATATAGAAACCAATCCATAGTGGGCCCAAACTAGCCTTGACCAAGCGTATCAATTTAAATGATATGGCTGCTGAGTGTCCTGATTTATTTTATGGATGTGGCAACTGGAGAAAGTCAACATGGCATTTTTATTGACCCTAAATGTCTTTTTCCCTTCCACTGTATAGCGCTGTATGAATGCTAGAAGGGGTTTATGTACTGCTAAAATGTAGCTGAAGCCAAACCAAATTTTTACTGCAGTTATTAGAAATACTGTAAAAAAAAATATCCAAAGTGTTTTCGGATGTTTATACAAATGCCTATTGTATTGTGGAGACCATAAACATGCAGTTGTCCTAAACATTGTTTGCATGCAGGTTGGAGTATCTGGTGTTCTATTTCTGCACTTCCTCGATGCTCTGGTCCTGGCTAATGAATGCTTACAAACATTAGACATTCCTAACTGCCACATTAAGCCTCGTCTTTTGTCTCTATACTATAGTTCCCTGCTCCGTTAAAAAAAAAAAAAATGTTTTGGCAGTAGATCTACTTTAACTTTGATAGCGTTCACTCTATAAATTATGGCATGGCATATTTTAGACTCTGGAATAAAAGTAAAGCTATGTTGTTTTCCCTGGCAACCAAATCAATCATTTATTCTCTAACAACAGAGACATGGTATAGAGATGCTAGGGACAGCACCATTATTTATACGTATAAACAATAACCATGGTGTCTGTGTTGTCGGTTTGCTGATTTTAAGTGTTTTCACCCTTCCAGGAAGCTGGTAAGCTTAAGTATAAATGATTGAAATGGCCGTATTGTCTACAGTTTTGCATTCCCCTTTGGAGTAGTTACAAGGAAATACATAATAAACAGCAATGCCAAAACTGATCTCACACTTTCACAAGAAAAAAGGTCTTCTCTTTATTTTTCACTGTTATCCTCTTTAGGCTATAATCCAGTATGGTGTGTTATTTACTTATCTACGATCTAAACATGCCTGCTGGGCACAATGGAGTTATGATCACAGAGAAATGATCTATCTCTCTGTAGCTGGGTGCCGCTACAGCAGAGACTTCCCTCTCCTATTGGATTGTAAATATTGCCTGGCTTCATGCAAGTCACAGCAGCGATGTATCTAAGGTATATATACTTATGTAATGAGGGGGATGGGGCAGGGAAGGCAGGTGCATTATGAGGACAGTTGCCCTTCAAAAATATTGCATTTGAAAAAATCCCTAAGAATGTTTTCCACCACTTTTGTATCTGTTTTTTTTTTTACTTAAATAGAAATAGCTTTCTTATGTAATAGTGAACAGAGATTGATCAGGAATGTCCACCTGCCCAACCATTTGTCATTTGCAGTGATTATGTGTGTACTTATTATTATTAATATTCAGGATTTATATAGCGCCAACCGTTTGCAAAGCACTTTACAAAACTGAGGGAGATAATACAGTTCAAATACAATTTCAATACAGGAGGGTTAGGAGGGCCCTGCTCTTAAAAGCTTACAATCACGTAGGAAGGGCACATGATATAAAAGTTAATAGGTGTGGGATGAGTTAATGGAAGACGTAAAAGAACAGTTATTATGTGCAGGTGGGATAGGCTTCCCTGAAGACATGAGTTTTAAGGGATTGCCTAAATGTTGACAGAGTAGGAGATAAGCAGACAGATTGGGGTGGGGTAGGGCATCCCAGAGGGTGGGAAACACTTTGGAGAATCCGTGGAGGTGAAGAGAGAGCTGGAGAGCAGGAGGTCTTGAAGGAGCACAAGAGGACGGTTTGGGTGATATTTTGAGATGAGGTTGGTGATGTAGTTGGGGGCAGAGTTGTAAATGGCTTTGTTGTTGTTAATATTTTGAATTGTATTCACGGGGCAAGTGGGAGCCAATGGAGAGCTAGGCAGAGAGGGGTTGCAGACACTGAACGGTTGGTTAGGTGGATGAGTCTGGCAGCAGTATTCATGATAGACTGAAGGGGGATAGTCTGTTTAGTGGTAGGTCAACAAGGAGGGAGTTACAGTAGTCAAGGCTAGAGATAAAAAGGGAGTGAATTGGAAGCTTTGCAGTGTTGTTTGTTAAAAAGGGGGACATTTTGGAAATGTTCTGGAGGTTGAGTTGGCAAGATTTGGATAGTGATTGGATGTGGGCCTGAAATGGGAGCTCAGAATCAAGGATTACTCTGAGCACACCGGCTTGAGGGGAGGGGTTAATCATAATGCTGTTGATTGTGGTGGAGAAGTTGGGGGATGGGACACAGAAAGGAGGAAATAGTATAAGCTCAGTATTGGACAGATTGAGTTGGAGGTAGTGGTGTAACATCCATGTTGATATGTAAGTGAGTAGATTAGTGATGTGTGAGGAGACAGAGGGGGTGAGCTGAGGAGTGGAGAGATAGATTTGGGCGTCGTCAGCATAGAGATAGTATTGGAAGCCATGGAAGGTTATCAACTGACCCAGGGAGGAGGTGTAGATAGAGAATAGAAGGGATCCAAGGACAGAACCTTGGGGAACCCCAATGGATAGACGTATAGGATAGGAGGTAGAGTTGTAGGTGACATTAAAGGTATGCTGAGATAGGTAGGAGGTGAACCATGAGAGAGCAGAGTCTTGGAAGCCAAATGATTGGAGTTTATTGAGGAGGAGCAGGTGGTCAACTGTGTCAAAGGTAGCAGAAAGGTCCAAAAGTAGAAGTATAGAGTAATGGCCATTCGTTTTAGCAGTTAGTAGGTTTTAGAAGGGCAGTTTCTGTGGAGTGTTGCGGATGAAAGCCAGATTAAAAGGGATCAAGGAGGTTGTTAACATTAAGGTTGCGGCTCAGGCGGTTGTAGACCAGGCGTTCAGGAAGTTTGGAGGTAAATGGGATCAAGGAGATGGGTCTCAAATTGTTTAGATTGGTGGGCCCACTGAGGGCCCTTTTAATATGGGGGGTCACCAATGCTTATTTTGGACCCTTGTTTGTGACTGTTGCACAGGGCTGACGAATTCACAAATAACTGTCATCGTACTTTTGTCCAGAGGAATGTTTGTTTATCCACGCAGTGCTACTTCTGAGCAGAAGAGAAGGGAAATGACTGGATAAAAATACAATCCCATATAGAATGCATTTCTGCTGGTCTTGAACTGCCTCACTGTACAGCAATAATGATAAACCTCTCCCAGGCTGCTCCGCTGAAGATGCAGGATCTTCCTCTGCGTTATGCATAAGATATATGTATCCTGTCAATAGGGAGAATTATTTTATTTATAACTCTAGTCAAATATTTTAATGCTTTATTTAGCTCTACTGACAGCTATGAAGCAGCCTGATTTGCTTCTTATGTTGTGATAACTGTCCCCCATTCACACCTGGACATTTTGTTGCACGTTTCCCAAAGTGTGACAGCGATCAACTTGAATAATCCCATTATTTTCAATGGTGCCCATTCACATCTGAGCGTTGTGTTACTTGTCACTTTTTTGGGGAAGAATTGCACATTTAGGCCCCATAGTCTTCAATGGGAGGGCTTGAAAAACACGTATATTGTGCTTTTTTTGTGCAATTCTGCACCAAACAACCATTTTCTCCTCCTGGTATCTAGATTTTCCATTGGCTAAAACAAAAACACCCAAGCCGCAAAAAAAAAAGGCGGCAAAACATGCCTGGAAATGCTGAAGTGTGAATATGGGCTTACACTGTGTAAAAATGATGGAATGCTATTACCGTATGTAAATTAACAAAAAAATGCGTTTTTAATACATTTTGAATTTGTTAGCTCATAATAAAAAGTTTGTGTCATATTTCTTAAAACAGTGGATCAAATAAAAGACCTTGAAACAGAACTCTGGGGAAAAGTGTTCTTAACCCTTGCAATGGGTCTACCCCCACACTGCAAGGGTTAAGCGCTCTTTTTGTCAAGGAGCTAAAAAATAAAGTTATACTCACCCGATTCTCTGAGACAGCTTGCTCTTAGACCAGTCCCTGGAGTCTCTCTTCCCCTCTGCTGCAGCGGTCTAAGTGTATAGGACATGAGGACGCTGAGGGACATATCATCACTTCAGGGTCCGGAATAGCAGCAAGCCAGCTCTGCAGTTCAGGTAAGTATAACTTTTTTAGCACCTGGACAAAAACAAGCACTTGCAGTGGGGCTACCTTTCACCTTTGAACACTTTTGCCCAGAGTTCTGCTATAAAACAAATGTAAGACTAGTTTAAGCAGGCAAATTAGAATTACTATCAAGGTAACTGATACATACTGACTTGCTAAATTTGGTCTGGGCATCTAGGTTTCAAAGAACTCTGGCTATGAAAGGGTTAAAGTTGTCATAATTTGTTAAATCAATTGTCTTGGTTGGTTTACACCACCTGGTGCCACATTAATTCTTTCTCATAGGCTTCTCTTCCAGCTTTGTGGTCTCGGGATGATTCAGCTCTGTGGAAATTATTAATTGTATCAAGCATTTTAGGATTTATATTTGTTTTATGAGACGCCTGTAACACGGTTCTAGCTGTATCTATAATTCATGTTTATTTCTGCAGGTGTTTTTTGTCGTTCCTTGGAGTTTTCTTAATAGCTAGAAATCAAGAGAAACGTTCTTTCCAAGAGCCGTATATAAATTTTGGAGAGATTCCTGGTGAGTATATATAAGGGCTATACATCGATATTGACCATAATATACTACTATACCATAGAGTAGCTGGAGGTAAAGATGTTTTTATGGAGTCAAGTTATTATGTCACTGAATCTATAGAAAATATTGAACTCTACCAGGCTATATATAACTCACCCAATTTTGACAGGACAGGGGGCAGATATTTTACAGCTCTGTAGTGCCACCTGCAGTGCAGTGTGGTATTGCAACCAGAGCTTCCACATGTAATGACAGGTTTATGCGGTAGGGCAGGTAAAAGGGCAGTAATCCACAACCAGTTAGAAATCAGTGAAAGTGATTTGTTATTGATAAGGGTGATGACGTTTCCCTTCATTACACATTTTTGCACCCTTATAAGTCCTATTAGAGAATAACCGTAATCAGCGGGATTGTATAACCCATTTGATACCTTTTTTAGAATGTGCTTAAATCGCATTCAGTTTTAAAGCTAAAGTCTGGGGAATTTCCAGGTGAAATGCATTCATGAGATTTGTTTTAACTGCCAAAAAATTGTGTTCAGACAGTTTTCCAGGCCAAAGCACTCTAGGAAGGCAGAACAGCGTCTTTACTTTCTAAATATAGCTAAGCAACACAGCTTGGTCATCATTCTGCCTCCAGATCTGCTGTATGGAGGAAATCAATCTATGCTCTCCTCCTGTTAGCAACCTTCCAGTGTTGGATTGACAGCAGTGTAAAGAAGCTAATATAAAGATAGATTTGGGTAATTGTACTTCACAAGTTGTATTTTTAAAATGCATTAGATTTCATTTTTATATGTTTTCCTTATAGTTCAGCTGTATTAAGCTACAAAACAGCCATCTAAATGTGTATATTCAATCCTTGTCACTGTTCAGTAGGTGTGAATGCCAACCTGTACATAGCAGCCACTTTATTAGCTAAATCAATTGATGATTAATATAGAAGCTGAAGCTTTGCACTCATTGAGGACATCCCTCATTTTTCAGTGTTCTCTCTAGTTAAATACTTCAGGCCACAGGATGGCTTCCTGTCATCAGTGCATCCAACAAATCATCTTGAAAGAAAGAAAGAAGTGTGCGTAATGTATTTTTAATTGCTCTTCCTAAGGCTGTGCTCTCACAGGTGCTGGTTGGCTTCAGCTTTGCTCCTCTCCATCATCAGATGTTTTCCAAGCTGGTGGAAGGACAGGGAGAGCATTCAAAATGTCAGAGAGGTCAGCATCAAACAGCAGCAGATGTCAAAGCCTGCATTCATTTTGGTCCAATGTTCTAACGCGTGTTTGGCTTCATATACTCCAAATACACAATATACTGGGTTATATGACTTCTGTACGTGGCCTTGTGTTACAGTGGAAAGGCATTTTTTTTTAATGTCCAGATTTGCCCCCACAAACTGTCTCCTCCTTTATCTCATTTGCATAGTCTGCCACTGGTATCACAGAAGGGCAGCCACACCAAGGCAGGAAAGACCCTGAGATGAAAGGTAAAGGGGGAACTAACTGAATACTAATATGGTATGGGATCACTCATGGCAAACTAACCAGTTGCCCTTCCTTTTATCATGGGGTACTACAAACGGTGTCAGGGTTCATGAATCAGTGGTGTATCCAGGGTATGACACATGCCCTGGGTGTCACTTGAAGGGGGGGGGACTGCTCTGTGGGTCAGTAAAAGTTTGCCAACCCATGGAGAGAGCTGACTTTTTTTTTTCTCTCCCCACCTGTCTCCTATAAACATCTCCCCACCCGGCTCTTAGCAACCCGGGACACTCTGGCTGGCGTCCTGTCCAGCTCCTGCCAATCAGTGACATCACTGGTTGGTAGGAGCTCGGTGGGACGACGGCCAGGGAGATGTGTTGCCTGGCTCTTGTCAACCTGGGATGCTATGGCCAGATTCCCAGGTTGCTTAGAGGGGTGCCAGGGGTGCAATTGTTTGTAGATACGCCTCTGTCATTATGCCACCACCCTCATATAGTATAGTGAATATCCTCCCCATTCTAGCTGAAGAAGATGAGAATTATTTAGTAACTAAGGATCTATAGCTATATATGCCTCACAAAGCCTCCTAATCAGCACCACGTCATACTAGACAGTATAAACAACTAGAGGTGGACCGAAATAGAAGTTTAAAAATCTAAACGAAACCGAAATAAAAAACAATTGTCAGGCTGAACTAGAAAATGTTTTTATTTTAAAAAAATTCAAATTTTTAAAATATTTTCTTTTTATTTATAAGCTTTTAAAAATGTTAGTATTTTTATTCATTTTTTATGAAATATTTTTATTTTTTACTTTACTGTTAGGGGCTTCGGAGAAATATTAGGGGTCTAAACAGGCCCCTGATATTTCCCTTTTAAAATAGAAAAAGAGATTGAGAACACAGAGTCATCAATCTCTTTTTCTGTATCCCCTGTTATCAATGAACAGGAATCCTCTATACTGAGTGCTCCTGTTCATTGATAACTTGAGAATATAGTGTATTTACTATAACCACAATCGTGAATGAACTGGAGGTGATGTAGATCACTTCCCATTCATTCATAATTGAGGATATAGTCAACATTGCTCTCGCTCTCCTCTGACACGCTGTCACAGGAGTCTGAGCGAGCTGTGTGGGAGGAGAGCCCAGTCTCCTGTGACAGCGCGGGCTGTCTCCGCCCCCACACCGCTCTGCCGGACTGTGATAGGAGGCTGAGCGGTATGGGAGGAGAGACACCGGCCGCTCGCAGCGCTCGGTCGGCTGTCACTTTCTCTCCTCCCCGCTGTGACACAGAGCAGCGCCCAGCAGGGAGGAAGAAACCTGGGATGCGCCGATGTATCGGCAGGAAAATGGCACTTTCTGCATTTAGCCAAAAGTGCCATTTTCGGCCGATATATCGTTGCATCCCTACAAAACAACCACATTCACATAACCTTATGCATCAATAAAACGTTTGTATTTTATATAGGGTTCAAAGAGTCTTATCACAAATTAAAGTTCTTTCAGAATCTGCAGATAAAATGCATAAATAAGACTGTATAATCAATAAGTGTGTTTGCAATGTCTGCCACCGACTGTGCAATCAGCTGTTGTGCGTTAAGAGAGCCGCTCACCTCACTATGAGACCCTGTAAGCAAGGTCACATAATGCAGATCCTTTTTTGGAGCTAGGTGGGATATTACCCAGATGCAGAGCCACTGAATGATGTTATTTCTTCCTTAGGTCAAAACCATAGGTCAAAAACACCCTCCATAGTGTACACAATATAAAATTGTATAAGATTTATTAAAATTCTATTTATAAAAAATATAGCATAAAGAATGTAAAAAAATCTCTCAATCGCAAGTTTAGACAACACATTGTACTTAACCGCTTTCTCCTCAGTGTCTCCGCTTTCCACTACGTCCCAAAGCTCTGCTGTGGTTGTTTATACTATATAGTATGATGTGGTGCTGATTAGGAGGCTTTGACCGTGGCATATATAGATCCTAGATCTGCATAATTTAGTGATGCTTACTATGTTTAGTGCTGGTATTATGCACTGGTATTGAGTACCGATATATATATTTTTTGGGGGGTACTCGCCGATACCAAATACCGATGCCGTGTGCCCTGATTATCAGGAAGTCGGGCGGGGGATCATGACCCTTTGCCCAGCTTCCTGATTGCATGTGAAGCCGATGTTCTAGCGAAAGAACACAGGCTTCACTTGCTGAGGCTGGCTGCCTGGATTATCTCACCAATCAGGAAGCCGGGCGGCGAGTCATGAGGTGGCGTCCGGCTTCCTGATTGGTCAAGAAGCCAGGCTGCCTGGCAACAAGTGAAGCTGGCTTCCTAGCCAATCAGGTAGCCGGGCGGCATGTCATCAACTGCCTCCCGGCTTCCTGATTGGTCAGGAAGCCTGGCTGCCTAGGAACAAGTAAAACTGGCTTCCTAGCCAATCAGGAAGCCGGGAGGCAGGTCATTACGTGCCGCCCGGCTTCCTATTTGGTTAGGAAGCCAAGCTGCCTAGCAACAAGTGAAGCTGGCTTTCTAGCCAATCTGGAAGCTGGGAGGCGGATCATAACCCACCGCTCGGCTTCCTGATTGCAAAGTAAGCCAGCTCCATGCTCCCTCTGCATTTGCAATCAGAAGGAGATCTCCCTCTGTCCGGAACTTCCAGTATCGGAGATAAGTATTGGAGCATTACTAGTACTAATACTAGTATTGGTATCGATGCATCACTAATTATCATCCAGGCTGGACTTTGAAAATTTTTGCTTTTGTTCATCTTCATGAATGGGGGGATTAATAGTTTACAGAATGGAGATAGTCTTGTTTATGCTTCCATTTCGGCTGGATCAACAGGTATTGTATGTACTTGCTGAGAATGTTCTTAGCCTCAAAAATGAAAACTAAAGCAACCAACTGAATTGCACTGTAAGCAAGGGAGCCAGTCCAGAACGGTTTAATGTATATGCAAATGAGTTGCTGGGAATTAAAAGTATAAAGTGTGGGTGGCCATGTGCTTCCCTAGGTCCCATCCTATGTTGGCTATCTAAAAATCCAGCCTTTGATATGAAGTCCAGTTACATAAGTATCCAGGTTGAAAGAAGACATACTTCCGTTGCCTTTAACCAACACTATTCCCAATCTTGTATAGCCATTGCTTTCTTGCTCAAAACCAGGCAGGTGGCATCCCTATCTTCACATCTTTCAGTGGTTTGGCCATAGCTTATGCTTGCCCATAATGCGTAGCCTATCCTGTGCCTACCCGATGTCAGGTAGACCACACAATGAAGATCTCACAATAGCCGCATCATAAGCAAGTATAAATTGTGGCCTTGTTGGCTTAAGTTCCTGGCAAGGCATCCTTAGATGTGTAGTTCCACAAACACCAGCTTACAACAGACTCTTATAGGAATTCCCGAGTCTCTGTTTGTGGAGTTTGTAGTGTTTATTACCATGGCTACACATTTGTTATTCTTGCATGAGAACATTTCCATGCCATCATGCTTCACCCTAGTTGGAGACCTCAGCAGACAGGGAACTTGGAACATTGCAACATACTACAGAATCCCAATAAGACCTGGGCCAGGAGAGAGTCCCCTAAGTAGAAGATTATCTCATTCTATCCTATGAATCATTTCAGCTGCGATGAGAAGGGTGTGATCAGCAGATGTATCAAACCGTGCAAATAATGTAACTTCAGCCTAACTAAAACTAAAAACAGACAAGGGTTAACAACATAATGATAAGAGTTAAAGTTAAAGGAGAACTATGAGATGAGTGATTTCCACTCACCTCATAGTTCTAAGCCGACCTGTGACAATGAGACTGTCACAGGTCGGCTCAGTAGATCGGGAGGTGAGGGAACACATACCGGGTTCGCTCGCCTCTCAATCCTGTCACGGCTCTCTGCCGTGACAGGGGAGGGACTGGATTCTCCTCTCCCCGCTCCGATCTGCCAGCGCTGACTGGCGGAACGGACGGGGGAGGGGGCGGGTACAGCTGGCTCTGCCTCTAGATAGGCAGAGCCAGCTGTCACTCACGCAGCTGGGCGGATTCCGTCATCTACGTCGGGATCCGCTCCAGGTGCGGCGTCTCAGTGTACCGCGAGCTGTAGCTCGCGGTATACTGAGCTTAGGGTAACGGGAGGACGCTAGTTTGTGTCCTCCCGTTACCCTAAGGAGAACTATGGGGAAAAACACTGACCCCATAGTTCTCCTTTTTAATGAAAAAAATTAATATCTTTGTATTGATAATGGTGATTTCCATTTCAACTGCTATAGTGGATAGCTGACAAGGGGGACAAGTGACCATGATCATTCTTGTTTTTTACACGTTTTTAAAAGTGGTCATAGCTATGTGATGTGAGAGAGAATAATCATCCAGACTATCCACCCAGATGCATGTCTATTGGCTTGTGGCCCTCCAAACGAGCATGCTTGGCTCCTCTGAACTCACATGATCAACCTTGTGCTGAAAGGAGGAGCAGGCAGATGGCTCCTAGTTCAAATTGTGTCTGGGGGAACAGTAGCTGTTGGTCAAATGTTTCAATCCCATGCATAGTATTTTTCCCTTCTTGTAAGAAAGGGGGAGAATCTGCTGCTGCCATAGTCTTGAGGTTGTCTGTCCAGATGTGGTGACTGTCTCCTCATGGCTGTGATCATTATGTCCATATAAATAATGAGGACATACTTGCCTTTTCCCCGCTGTAGAGCCTGCCAAGAACTGCACAGCCTCTTGTTCAAAATCCAGGGCATGCAAGTATGAGAGATGCAGGACCTTTTTTAAAGTGACACTAAACTCAGGAGTTAAATCTTAAAAATACATCCAAGTACCTTAACTATTAACATAAATGTATCTTATTTGTGTATCACTCGGCTGTAGATGCTCAAATCATCTCTGAATTGGTGCTGACACCATCCTTCCTTCTGGAGGGCAGCTACTTTGTTCCCCATGGTCCCGGTGTGTGTTGTACAGAAGCCACCACTCTAAGCTCACTCCTGTGATGGACTACAATTTCAATACAAATTAGTAAACTAAACATGAGATTGTAGTCCATCATGGGAGAGAGCTTGGAGCATAGGCTACTTTACAATACACACAGGGACCATGGAGAACCAAAGTAGCTGCCCTCCAGGAGGAAGGACAGTGTCAGCATCAGTTCGAAGATTATTTGAGGCTCTACAGCCAAGTGATACACAAATAAGCTACATTTGTATCAATAGTTAAAAGTACTTGAATGCATTTCTAAGATTTATCTGTAGTGTCAGTGTCACTTTAAAAGAACTTTAAAGAAGGGGTTTTTAAGGCTTCACACAGGGTGTATATCTAAGATCTCACCAATGATGGCCATATGACTAAATGCTTCTGCAAAAGTGCTGGGATAGGAGATCAGGGCCCATGAGGAGAAGTACAATATAAGTGACTGTCATCATTTGGTTGTCTTCACGGGCTTCAAAAGATTCCCAACTGGCTGGTCCAGCATTGTGCACTGACCCAAACAGGACACACTTCATATGGGGAAAATCTGAACTTTACATCCAACATTCAGGCCACTTGCACTCTACTGACTTACATTGGTGCCCTGTACTGACCACCCTACGAGGAGAGCATTCTGAATGAAGGTAGAGTGCCCTGAGCATATAGACAGATGATCTGTGTTAGCATTCAGTGTCCATTGGGACCTTGCCTATGTATTGAGTTACTAAGCTCTAAAAAACATGCAGCCAGTGACGTATGAAATGCCCATCCTGCATATGTATTCCAAACCAGTTCCTCTTTAGGTAGTAAAGCCTGGAACAAAATTATACTTAGAGCCTTAAACTTTAAAAACAGGGCCGCAATGGCAGCTCCAGTTTTTACTATTTTACTTGTCTTCTCTTTAATAAATGTTTCCATTGAACATGTTGACAAAGTAACTTACTAATTTCTCTCTGGAAAAATATCAAGTGCTGATTTTTCTCTTTTAATTCCCATTTTTTTGTGTCTCTCTGCAGGAAAGGAAACCATGGATAAAATCCAACCAAATTCAAACAGCGTTACATATGGGACTCTGCTTAATTAGTTACTCACACAGCAGCTAAGGCAAAATAGATGAAAGTGAGAGAAACAGGGTCAGAGAGAGGAAGCGTTTATTTATTGCCCAAGATTTTCAACACTGTGTCATGTCTGCGTGTCGGATACATTTCTGCTCCTTTTTTATGTTTATTTTTGTTTCATGAATCTTAAGTTTTCTCTAGACCCTTTGATGTCTTTACAGTTTCAAATCTCCAATGCTGTACAATCTACATAGCTTAGTCTGGTCCAGGTTTGCTAATGATAAACTCAAAAGTGTTTCTGCAGATTACTTTCTGTCCTGTGGAAAATGGTTTGTTTCTGTAACATCTTCTCAGGGAGATGGAAGTTTTGGAGTTTTCAGACTCTAAATGCTAACAATACAGAGGATGTAATGAGCGTTTCATGATACCTCAGGGCTATAAGGACGGATGGCGAAGCTGAGCAAATGTTCTGTTTGAAGAGATTGCATACATTTCATTAACATGTCTCCAGTTTTGGGATCATTGAGAGTTTATCTAGTGTGCCTCTCATTGTTCGCATATAATTTCATAAACCATGCTTAATATAACCTCCTAGTGTCCTTATTTGGCTGGACAGCTTCTAAGGCAGAAGGAAAAAACTTTTTTTGCCCAAATAAGTAGAAATTCTGGTGATCTGAGCATATTGCCTGCACAGCCGAAAGGGCCAGATTCCACTCCTTAAAGCTGAACCTCAGACAAACAGCTAAATGCACTACTGAAATGCATATACTGTATAGGAGTGTTTCTACTTGCCAAAGGATTTGTATTTTTGACCAGACAGTTCTAAGGTCTATAGTCTCACCAGACAGCATCTCCTTGACCCGACTTCTCCCTTTTGCAGTTGAGCAAAACTGTTAAATCACCTTCCCGCCCCCAACCAAGCCAGCCAATGAGCAGCAACAGACTCTCTGATGCTCCTGTCAGCATGTTCCTTGTCTGGAAATGTTGATGCTGTACACCTGATTGGCCCAGAGTACTGCTCCTCCCTCTCCCAGTCTCTCCCAGTCTTAATGATGCTGTATAAGTAAATACAAGATACTGAAACCAAGTCAAATTCAGGTATTATGCTAGTTTCATTTCCTGAGTTCAGGGAAACTGAACTCAGGAATTGAATCTTAAAAATGCATTCAAGTCCCTTAACTATTAACAAAAATGTATCTTATGTGTGTATCACTCGGCTGTAGATCCTCAAATCATGTCTGAATTGGTGGTGACACTGTCCTTCTTTCTTGAGGGTGGCTACTTTTGTTCCCCATGGTTCCTGTGTGTGTTGTAAAGTAGCCACCACTCCAAGCTCACTCCTGTGATGTCCTACAATCTCAATACAAATTAGTAAACTAAAAGTGACATTGTAGTTCATCACAGGAGTGAACTTTGAGCGGTGACTACTTTACAACACACACACAGGGACCATGGGGAACAAAAGTAGCCACCCTCAAGAAAGAAGGACAGTGTCACCACCAATTCAGACATGATTTGAGGATCTACAGCCGAGTGATACACAAATAAGATACATTTTTATTAATAGTTAAGGTACTTGAATGTATTTTTAAGATTTCACTTCTTTGTCACATTAATTGTGCTATACAGGTAATTACAAGAGACTGAAACCAAGTCAAATTCAGGTATTATGCTAGTTGCATTTAAGTACAGCTTTAACTGAGTGGCACCCAGCTAGGATTTTGTAAAACTGACAACAAACCAAATGGTGATTGCTTGCAATCCTGCCAACGTTCCAAGCACTGTTTGTATACAAAACGCCCCCAGAAATAGAATTTCCTGCTTGCGTGGTTGGATTTCTTTTCTCACAATACTGTGACTGATCATTTGGTTAAACAAGGGAGATCCTTCCACTTGGCATTTCCACTTCCTTCACCCTGAGAATGTAAGTGGAAAGGCTATTCTTGGTGTCTACAGAGCAGAAGCAGTTAAGAATCTGCCATGATGTTTGCTAAAATCCTTGCAATGCATATAAATGACCCGAGGAGCATTGCTTTTTTTTATTTTTTTATTTTTTTCTCCCTTACTTTACAGCACAATTTTCATGGTATAGAATTGTGAATATTTATGATCTATAAATGGCTGCAAACCACAAGGGTGCGTGTAGAGGTTTGGAACACCCTTGTAGCTACCCTTGTAGCTGTTTCCAACAGCTACAAGGGTAGCTGTTGGAACAGAGCAGTGATATTACATAAAAATAAGAGCAAATGTATGTAAAAGAGAAGATAAAAGTGCACAGTTTAGAAGCAGTACAGATCAGAATACTGTATATAGTGCCTGATCATTGTACTGGAAGAAAGTACAGTGATGCACAGTTGGAAAGTGGCAGGGAAGGCTTCCACCCAGGGAAAGGAGTGAGGTGTAATGGGGGTGAGGAGACTGGGTAAGACGTGAACAAATTTGGTTCTTCAAATCTGTAACTTACTTTAAAGTTTATTAAAATAATACCTGGTATAATATCTGGTTATCCTGCCCTAAAGTCCCCTGTTCAGGCTTTTCCTATTATGGGATACCACCTTTCTTCTCACCATGCTCCTGCGTTGTCACTCTCGCAAAAACGTCAATAAAGACGAGAGTCTGAAGCTACGAGGTGTGTAGATAACATATCCTTTACTATTATGATGTGGTACCATCCACCAGTTGTTCCAGCAACCGATTATAGGAGCATATCGCTATGGTGTGTGAAGAAGATATAACCACAGCCTGCGTTGTCACCCTGGTGAAGACTATAAGAAGCTACACTGACAATGTACAATGTGCGCAGGAATGGTCCACTGTTGTCATCAATGGGAAGCTGGAGAGGATAGATATGTACTGGAGTGCATGCATGTAGCGGAGAAATGACTGAAAAAGGCTAGAAGAGTTCAACAGCAATAAGGTGCAAAAATAGGATGAAAAAAATGGCAATTCTTTACTACATCTTGCTTTAGCAAAATAGATTTTGTCTATTTAGGGTTTAGATATACTTTAAAGAGGCCAAAGGACAATAGATCTTTGAGGCCTACTGGTTTTGGATTTATGTACATCATGTATTGTGCCAAAATGTCTTATTGTTTACACAAGGTGCTAAAATAGCCAAGTCGTTTCAGACTTCAATTAAAATGTAAATATAGAACATGCAATTGTGAAATGACACATAGCCAGACCTGTTCATTTATTATGTTCATTTTCTACCCACATTGTATTTATGACAGGCGATGAACCTTGACATAATGTGAATAGACTTCAACAAAATGATTTTTTGTGATTGTGTCTGTCATATTTTCTGCTAGTCTGCTTTCTGTTCAAACTTATTCACTAAATGTGCTGTAGGAGTTGGCTTATGGACACAGGAGTTTTTTTTTTTAATTTTCTTTTATCTTTCATCCCTAATAATAAAAAGTGATGGGATAAGAAAGATATTAGTTTTGTCAGGCAGTTCAAGGATCAATGAAGTGCAAATTGCAATAACAACTAATCAGATTTCTGTTGTGTGATACATTTATAGATGGGTTTGTATTGGGTGGTATGTGTTATTGCATTTTATGATATTAATGCACAAATGAAACTTGTAGTGTCATGTTTGCTGATGGTGTTTCGCCATGTGTAGGTTGGGACCACTCTCCCGTTTAAACACGGTCCTAGGTTACAGTTGCATTAATTTACATCTGGGTAGGATAAGCAAAGAAGCTGAAAAACTGGGCCTGGGTTAACCGCAGCTAAAAAGGCAATAGGACAGTATGGCTAGATCCTAAGCCCCTTTCTTGAAGTTGGTTAGAGAATAACAGACTCATTACTTCAACATTGACAAATTGTCTTATTCAAAGGAAAGGAGTATAAGATATTTGCAAACTTGGGAAAATGTTATTGGTCACAAAGGTTAAAATAACCAAATGTTTCAAATAAGCAGAGGGGAGTTTAACATTTATGTCTTGCAATGGTTCACCAATATAGGTGAATCAGCCCCATGTTGGATTCTCATGGTTCTGTACATCTTGATTTAATATTACCCCCTCCTTTCATCCCAAACCCAGGTCAATATTTACTGACTATGTTATGGAGATAGTGGCTGGGGGCGAGGCTTCACCTGCTGCAGCTAGATTTAGACTTAATGTTGGAGGGCCAAATACCATGGAGGTGAAGGCTCACTGCTAGAATCATCAAGAGATAAAACAAGACAGTACACAATAAAGCTCAATGTCTGCTAAAACTAAAAAAAAAATCAATCGGTGGTGGACTGAGCCATGAAACTGAGCACCGGAGCATAGAAATTTGGAAGCCACCAAAGTATTAAGAGGTGCAAACAGGATTGTCATTCTGAATATACATACAGCCAATGAAGATGGAAGACTCAACGCCTGTTCTGTACAAATTGTCTCAGGTGAGTGGTTAACTGGAATTATTTATTAAAGGCAAATAGGATGTTCACTTTGCAAGGTATTTGCCCCCCAGCTTAGTGCATGCGGTGAAAATTCACTTTGAAAGGATACCCAATCACATGGAAGGAAGGGAAAAAATGTTTTTATTTATGCTGGCACATGATTGGATGATGGAAGTCAGTAGCGCTTTAGCTCATGCACCAAGCTAGGGGACTTTCCCTTGCAAAGTGAACAGCCTATTTGCCCCTCTAGCACGAGTCCCAGCATTTAATAATTATCAATTCTCTTTTATTTTTTTTATGGAGTCCATTGAGAGATACAGGCAGTTTGAAACCTTTGAGGGATACACTGCTGCCTAAAGGAGGATTAGACACTGGCCAATGAAAAAAAACCATCAGGCTAACTGTGGCATGACCCCTTCTACTACCAGGATGTCACAGTTTAGTAGCAGAGCAGTACCAAGAGCATGATTATAAATGCAGAGGTAGCACTCCAAGAAAATACATTTATGGTGAATACAATAACCCTGTCTTCTTTGTCTTCACAATGAGAGACACAGCAAGTGTTAAACCTTTAGACATTTAAAAGAAGTCCAACTGTGTATTGGAAAAGTTAGGCAAAAAAAAGGCCAACAAGAACAAGGGACTGATAAAAGCTTAATGTAGAAGAGAAGATGGCATGTTTCTAACAGTCCATTACAGCTACAGTTCAGAGTCAGAAACATCTGAAACAAGCAATCCATAGTCTGTGGGTTTATGTCCGCATTGGTCAGATCTTGTTTAAGGGATTTGGACCATTTAGCCATGGTTTGAATGAGCAGAACTACAGCTAGAACTGGGTGTAAAGCAGTACCTCCTAAACAGAGCATGGCCCTAAAAAGAGATTCCAGCCACGTGCGGTAAGGTCCTTAAAGGAGGTGCACCCTTCTCTGGTATAGTGACTGCCTGTTAAGCTGAGAAATGGCTAAATCCACAGTTGGGACAGACCACTTTGTGATAAACTGCTCTCTGTGCGGGCAACGAGACAGCAAGTTTTGAGAGGAGCAGAAGCCTTATCAGGGTGTTTCCAGACTTCATTCAGAAACAACAACAAAAATAGACACAAAGGGAAGGTCTCTGAGGCCTTAGCGGTCCTATAAGACCTGAACATCAGGGAGACTTAAGATCCCTGTGACAGGGTGATCCTCTAGGTCAGTGGTGGCGAACCTTGGCACGCCAGCTGTTTTGGAACTACAAGTCCCATGAGGCATTGCAAGGCTCTGACAGCCACAGACATAACTCCCAGAGGCAGATGCATGTTGGGATTTGTAGTTTTGGCACAGCTGGAGTGCC